GTGGCCGGAGAAGGGTTTTATCTGACGGCAGCGACCGTGGGCGGCGGCGGTGAAGATTTGAAGGTGCAGAGAGGAAATGCATTGATAGAAATGGGAGTGAAGGAGAGTTTAGGGACAGTGTTGCTGGTGGTTAGGCCTCCAAAGGAGATGGAGGATGACCAATTAAGTGATGAAGATTGGGACTGAATAAACACATTTTAGTCATTCATATACAAACATTTCCTCGCCTCATTATTTTGCTTATTCAATTTCATATCATATTGTTTCACTTCTCTTTTCCACTTTTCATGTCTCTTCTCTGCTCCAGGAGCTCTGTTCCAAATTTTAAAAATTATTTTTATGTTTTTTCTTAAAACCTCCTTTATTTATGTCTTAGAAACACTTTTAAAATTTGTGAAAATGCAAAGTAATAAGTAAAATATTTAAGTTCTTACTCGTTTGAGTTGTCAATTTTTCGACAAGTGATGGTGACATAAAAGATAAGTTATTACTGATAGGATCTTACTAGTTATTAAATGGGTCATAAAGAAATATTTGTTTGCAAATTAGAATGGAGAAAGGGAGTATTAATGTTAAGTATGTGAAATGAGAAATGCATGATACAACTTTTTGCGCTTACGGGCAAGATCTACCTGCATAGTTTTATGTTATTCAACTTCCAAGAGTACATAAAATATATGTCGACAAGCACGATAATATTATTTTGGTCACATATATTTTAACTCTTACAACATGACACTTATATATTGACATTTAGGCATAAATTTATATTAAAATTTTTCATTGGGTATAAAATTAGTGTTAAAAATTTATAAATAGAAATAAAATTAGCCGCATTTTAAAAAAAAATACAAAAGGTTTGATAATACAATAATTAAACTAAAATAAACAAAAATTGAAAGTAAGAAACTAAAATGAACCAAACTCAAACCAAATTCAACATTAAGGAACTAAAATGAATCAAACTCAAACCAAATTCACCATTAAAGAGACTGAAACAATATTTAAACCTGTTGAATTTCCAAAATTCTCATAGGAAGTTTTCTTGCGTGAGAAAAAAGATTAATGAGGCACAAAGGACAAAACAAACTACTAATAAATTTTAAATTACTCTCTTCCACGTCAAACATAATATTTAAAAGTTTTGCCAAGAAAATGGCAAAACTAAAAAGAAAAAGTGATGCATACCATCTAATTGCATTAGCAATTTTGACAGTCGTGCGATTGTAAAATGCTAAGTTAGAGAAGCTAATAATATCATATATTTTATTCACAGTATTAAATAAAAATGCAATCATACAAAGTTAAATTACCTAATCATAATCCGTGTTTCAAATATCGATCAACACATAGACATGTCGTTTTTCCCTGCCGTTAATTTGATTAAATCCAAAACGTCATGCAAATCCTATCTTGAAAGGGAGAAAGATTGAGTATAAATCAATAATCAAACCTGGTTTTTTGGTTTGAAGGAGAAAATTGAAATGTCAATGAAGAAAGATGAATCCTCGATGAAAGAAGATGAATCTGCTGGTCGAAATGCACAAAACGATGGTGGACAAAATGAATCATCGGTGATAAAGAAGTTGAAAACACAAACGTGAACAACGATAAATCCAATTTTTCTTTCCTGAATGAGCCAAACTTTGGGAAGATCTGGAGCAAGAAATTTGAATTTTTAATATAAAATATCTTTAAATGGGTGTAAAATGTGATTCTGTGAATCTAGAATTGTGAATCATTTTCAGTTTTCAATTTGAAATATTGAGATTCTCATTATTCTTTAATTTTATTTTTTCTTATTATTTGAATTAAATGGAGAAATGGAACAGAAGAGAGCATGTGCTCCATAGGAGCCACTCTGCTAATTGCTCCTCAACAAGCTAAAAAGTGTTGATCATAGACCTTGTATTATAAATTGAATTCCCTTGTTCAATTATCTATTTATGTATATGACCATCAATGTATTTGGACTTTGGAAGAACACCATTTTATTTGGATAAGAATAAATTCTCCATCAATATGGTAGCAATGAAATGGATGGAGGAATAATGATCCAGTATATTTGAAGAAATTAGTTTTAAGCAGTGCAATCTTTTAAAGGATGTGGCCATGTGTATATATATGTTGACATATATTCTATATCAACATCAATGGTACATTAAAAAAATCAATTAAAATTGAACACATTTGGAAAAGTATATTATTTCAAGAAACTACTAACAAAATAGTTCTAGATCAATTACTCGTCAAACTTTCTTATCATCAAACTTTCTTATCATCAAACTTTCTTATTAAATTTTTATTAAATTTACATAAAGATAAGATATCGGATCATTCAAAGTATCTTTTTAATATTAATTTACTTGTTTTACTTTATTCACCATCACTACATTTGAATACAATAAATTTTATTTTTCAAATATGATATCACAATAAATTTTATTTTTCAAATATGATATCATTATTTCATCAAATTCTGTACGATTATTTCATCCATCACAATCATATTTCTATAAGTATATTACATATATATCTATATATGATGGTTAAAAATGATTAATTATGAACTAAAATACAATTAAAGTCTTATTTACTAATTCAAACAATTTGTATCAATATCCACAATTTTAGTGATTTTTTTCGAAATATCTATCGACATCAATACATCCATCGACATGTCCGTAAATCAGGACCTCGACATTTCCATCGAGGTCATTTCCGGAAGTCGACATTTTGAACCTTGATTATAACTCAAAAGTGGCAGAGATATTGTACCATGATCTAGTATTTTGAAGAGCGAAGTTTGGTGATAATTTAATTTGAATCTCTTTCTTTGAAGGGGAAAAAAAAGTTCAAAGGAGATTACTCAGACATGAGAATTAATTCTAAAGCGCATAATTCCAAGAGTTGAAAGCGAAATTCTAACACAAATTTCTACCTTCAACTCTGAGCTGTTACCTGACCACAGTCCTCTATCACAACTGTTTCTGAAGTCTTCCCACTGTCTGAACCAACCTTCTCCATCTCCTGAACTACATTATAACCATCCACAACTTTCCCAAACACAACATGCTTCCCATCCAGCCATGGAGTCTTCTCAGTGCAAATGAAGAACTGAGACCCATTCGTGTTCGGTCCAGCATTCGCCATCGAAAGAACCCCGGGCCCCGTGTGTCTCATCTTGAAGTTTTCATCTGCAAACTTCAAGCCATAGATTGATTCTCCTCCTGTCCCATTGCCCTTTGTGAAATCTCCTCCTTGGCACATGAAGTTGGGGATGATACGGTGAAACGACGAGCCTTTGTAGTGCAGTAGCTTCCCGGATCGTCCGATCCCCTTCTCCCCGGTGCAGAGGGCACGGAAATTCTCTGCAGTTTTCGGGGTAGTGTCTGCAAATAACTCCATGACGATGCGGCCTGCTTTCATCTTTCCAATCAAAATGTCGAAGAAAACTTTTGGGTTGGACATTGTTCTCTTTTAAAAACAAACACTCTGCTGCTCCCAAACTCCAAACTCCAAATTGTGCCCTGTGAAATCAAAAACTTTAGCTTTATTAAAGATCTTTTAATGGATAATGATATAAATAGAATGCTTTAAAGAATACAAACTAGTTTATAGTAAGTCATAATCGTGTTTCCTAAACAAATTTGACTATATCTACAAGCGTATATGCATTTTACATTGGAGTAGACCCGGTTTACTTGAAATATACACAAGTGTCTAATTTACATGATATGATTTCTATAAAATTGTATGTAATACACAAAATTTACTCAATATCAATGCATTAAACACCCCAAATGTAGGCAGATTTTGCATCTTCTACACGTGATTTACTACTAGCTTAATATTGTAAATCCAAACATTAGTCCTACTGTTGCCAAATTCTCAAGAGTCAAAGAAGAATAAAAACTAAAAAGTCAAAATAACATTCAGCCTCGTGAAACTATAAAGAAGCAATCAAATCAAATCACATTGAGAATCATAAAAACATAGCAGAAAAGAACTTCAAACAGAAACAACTTCCCGAATCGTTCTAATCTCACCCTAATAAACAATTGAAAATCAAATTAGCCCAAGCACCAAAAGTGAAAGATTAGTAGGAAAATGTTCGTGATCTACTCCCAAATCCTCTAGAGGCCGAAACTACGAATCAGCCTCGGAACCAGTCTAGACTCTAGAGGATGTACTAAAAGAGAGAGAGATGACTAAATTATATCGCACAACTTTTGAGCTCCACAGGCACTGCAAACAACCTGAAAGCCTTCGATATGTGCTTTCACAAAATTAATCAAACCGATAAACATTCCCAGCATGAATATTTTCATAACATGTCCAATTCATCAACAGAATCTCAACACTAGACTAACAACAAGTGCTTTCAAATCATCCATAAGCCATACTAAAACACATGCTTCATTATCAACAATTCACAATTACCGAATCGAGTTGGGTGTATGGCGGATTGGTGTCAGCACCAGAAATCGAAGACGAAATGTGTACTGGAATCGGATTTCGCCGGAGAGGGACGGCGCTGTGGCGTGCGGCTGAGAGGAGAAGAAAAGTAAGTTTTCTCCAAAATGATAACAAAAATACCCTTTTAAAAGAAGAGTTCTAGAGATTAGGGTTTGGGGTTTTAGTAACTAAATGAATTTTGCAATCCCATCCTTGTTCTTCTGGTAATTTTTTATTGGCCCCACAAACATCTTTTTTTATTTAAGAAAGAGCCCCATAACTTCACTACTACATGTTTGACTACACCTGAGAAAACGAGAATTGCAATGTGTTAAGTATTCGACGTATCTGAATCCAGCAAAAAAATTGCACAAAATTGACCCTTTAATGACTTTGTCAAAATTCATAAATTTTTTTAAAAAATAATAATAACTTGCTTTACCTTCGGTATAGAGCCTTGGATTTACAATGATTTGCTCATCAGAATGATTTTTAAATCATTTCTTGTGTTTGGTTTAAATAAAAAATTTGAATTTGAATCTAATCGGTTAAATATATTAAATAAATTTGTCAAACTTATTCAAGAAGTTTCCTAGGAGAATTGAAGTCACTAGAAGTTACTTGATTAAATATTTTGTCAAACTTGCTTAAGAAGCTTCATTGAGAATCGAAATCAATAAGTTAAACACTTTATCCAAAGTCAAGATTGTGGCAAAATTGTGATCACTAGATCATCACCTTGTCAGAGGTCGATCAAGATGTGGCAAATCTATGGCCAATGGATGATACAACATGTTCAAGACTAATATTTGGCGTATTTGTAGCCATAGAAATTTACTTGATGGACAAGTATGTTTTGACTATATATAGGTGGGCACCAATGGTTGGCAATCCATCTTAAAATCTCCAACTTTAAGTGAGTTATAGTGTGAGACTTGTGGTATAAGAATAGTGTGAAATTTTTCTATATCATTGCCCATGGTTTTCACCCTAATTCGTCAGGGGTTTCCACATAAAATCATTGTGTCCTATCCTTCTTCCTCTTATTTTTCATTATTACTTATTCTCAATCTATTTTAGCTATGATCCTACTCTATCCGATCTCCATCATTTCTAACATGTGGTATCAAAGTATGGTTTTAGGTGTTAATATCTACTTATTGTATACTCCGTGGTTGCCACTAAAAGTGGATCCTCCACATCAAAAAATGTGTTAGATATCTTTCACCTTTATTTAAAGGCACAAATGATTGCATACGGTCCATGAAAAAGTAATGGCGACAAAGTTCGATATTGAGAAGTTCAACGAGACTAATTTCTCTTTTTGGAAGTTGAAGATAAAGGTTATCTTGAGAAAAGATAATTGCCTTGCAGCCATCAGTGAAAGGCAGTGGAAGTCACAGAAGACAAGTGGAATGAGATGGACGAGAATGCTATTACAGATCTTCATCTAGAACTAGCAGATAAAATGTTACCAAGCATATAGGATAAGAAAACTGTAAAGGAGATATGAGATCGTCTCAAAAAATTGTACGAAGCCAAGTCACTTCACCAACAAGATTTTCCTTAAGAGGAGATTGTATACTCTTCAGATTCAGAATCTACTCCAATGACAGAGCACATGAACACATTGAATACTACTCTATTTTCTCAACTCACATCATTGGGTAGTAAAATATAGGCAAATGAATGTGCTGAACTTCTACTTCAAAGTCTTCCCGAGTCATGTGATCAACTTGTCATCAACCTGACAAATTAATAATGTTCTCACCAATTATATAAACTTTGATGATATTGGAGTTGCTGTCTTAGAAAAAGAAAATCGACGCAAAAATAAAGAAGATAAGTTGGTGAATTCACGAAAAGCAGAGGCTCTGGAGATGACAATAGGCAGATCAACAGAACATGGCTCGAGTGGGAGCCAAAATCAAGGAATGGGCAAAATCAAGAAGTAAGAATTACATGAAGTACTACTAACTATAGGAAGAAGGGTCATCTGAAGAAGAATTGTTCGAATCTAAATAAGAAAGATTCCAATTATCAAGGAAATGTAGCAAGTACCTCAAATTAAGATGATGGTTTGCCTTGTGAAGCAGCAACAACTGTTGAAGCCAGAAAGAGTTCAATTAATGTATGGTTCATCGGCGAAGCCACTTATCACATGATCTTGACGAGAATGGTTTCATCATTATGAACCTGTCTCTAGAGGATCTATGTTCAGCTATAATGATCATGCCTTGAAGATTGTTGGTACTGGAATTGTCAAGTTGAAGTTCTATTATAAAACAATTCGCACAATTCAACAAGTATGACATGTAGAAAGCTTGAAAAAGAACTTACTCTCGTTAGGTCAACTAGATGACCTCAATTGCAAAGTTATAGTTGAGAAAAGAATCATGAAGGTGATTTGAGGTACGATTATATTTACAAAGGGACAAAATGTAGCAACAAACATGTACATGTTGGAGAGAGAGATTTTGCGATAATGAGAAGCATCAGTTGCTTCAAGAAGTCCAAGTGAAAAGCTCTTACTAATGTGGCATTTGAAACTTTTAACATATGTCCGAACAAGCAGTGAAGGTTCTTGCAGAGCAAAATCTATTCTCAAGGCTCACTAAGGTATTTTTGTCATTTTTGTGAGCGTTCTATTACAAGTAAGTAGCACATGTGTTAAAGTTCAACACATCAACTTCTAAATATAAAGAGAATATAGAATTGGTTCACTATGATGTATGGCAAGCACCAGTTACATCCTTAGGAGGAGCAAAGTATTTTGTATCCTTTATAGATGACTGCTATAACAGGTGTTGGGTGTGTTGGGTTTTATGCCCTAAACTCATGGTTTGTAAATGTAAAACAAATTATTTGTTCAATGAAGTTCTTTTTTTTTTTTTGTTGAAGTTTTAGAATTGCCTTGACCCAAATCCAATAAACTAACATCTGAGGTTATTTAATGTAACTAGAACAGTATATAATTGTTATACACAGTATATAATTGATATATACGGTATATAGTGGATACAGTTGGATCATGTTCCAGTAATAACCTAAATGGTTTATACTATATAGATAAGGTTGGGTACCTCATCTTGGTGACACTATGGATACAATCCATTGTGTAAAAGTTGCAAATGACTCGTTCCAAGTCATTCATGTGGAGACATGCGAGTAGGGGTATCCTATACAATGAGTTTGTATAAGATCGGACCATGAAATTATTAATCTTTAGTTGTAACACCGTTAACTAACTAAATTAATATTTCACAAGATAACTATGTAACTCGATCTCAATCCTGAGTGAGTTAGAGACTCCTGCCTATGAAGAATTGTTCATTGATTTGTGTGGGTGAGAGTGGCCCGAGACACCGACTCAATATGCCTAGTATTTTGGAGATAAGCCCGAGTGGGGAACTGGGAACATAACTTCGTGAGATATGGAATTCACTCCTTCCCGACTTTAGGGAAGTAGATAAGTTGTTTCATTAAGTGCAGACTCTGGGTCTTTAACAAGGGGCTCCACCCTCTTACTGGTTCGAGAGGGACTTTGTTTTATAGTATGACTGTAAATGGTTGTTTATTAGAGGATCAATGATACTTAAGGAGCAAGAAGTAACTACAGGGGTAAAACGATAATTCGACCCAGTTGTAGTTACGGACAACTCGTGAATGATTGACTTATTCGTTATGGATGTTATATCCATTGATGCAAAAATATTCTACAGTGCGAAGAGTGCAGTTGTGAGTCTTTAGTGGAGTGACCCACAGTTAATGAATGTTGATTAATTTAATTAATGAGTTTAATTAATTAATCTCGTATCATTCAAGCTTCTAATCTGTATGCTCATTAGGTTCTCTTGCTAGCTCACATTAATCTCATATCATTGAAGCTTCTAATTTGTATGTCCATTAGGTTCTCTTGCTAGCTCACAATGGAAAAAATGAGGATCAAGAATGTGAAAGAATTTGAAATGTTCAAATTTAATAAGGGAATATATATAACATATACACCATTTATATAATGTATATATTAATATATTATATAATTAATTTTGAATAAGGATTTGAAAGTAATACTATATTGTTATGAGAGAATTATTTGAAAAAGATTCAAATAAAATTTAATATGAATTGGATTCATATTAAAACTGTAGGTTAAAATTAATATACATGAGATACGCGTTAAAACTATAGGTTATGAGAGAGATGTGCATTTGAATAAGATTCTAATTAAATATATGATATTTAATTAAAACAAAAACATAATTAATTAATTAATTTAATTATATTTATTATTTAGTTTTATTAAATAATTTAATTATGTTTATTATTTAGTTTAATTAAATTTATTTACAATTAACTATATAACCGAAGTGAGATTATGGTGATGTAGAAAGTTAACTTGCTCCTCACTCCTCACCCTTCTTTAATTGGAAAGAGTTTGCATCATGGAAGAGTTGATGCATTTTGGAAAAACTCTCTCAAATTAGCTTCTCTCACAATCTCTTTAAAGAATTCCCTATTCAAAGACATTTCCCACAAATCGTTCTCGTCTAGAGGATAGCGAGGAAGGCGTTTTGGTGGCGTTGATGCTATTGTTGAAGAACGGTCTTCAAAGGTAGATTCTCCTTCTTTGTGTTGTTAATTTATTTTCTTTGTAGTTTTTCCTAAAACAAAATCGAAGCACAAGCATTCACACGATTTTTCGTTACGGGATTCGAGCCTTTCAAGTTGTATCCTACGAGAGGAAGACATATGTGTGTTATGTCTTCAAAGCACAAGTAGATCTTCAATCTGACAACGAGATGAAGTGTTTGCATATAGATAATGGATAGGAATATACAAGTAATGAGTTTGCAGAATTTTGCAATCAGAAAGGCATAAAGAGACAGTTCACTATTGTTTACACTCCTCAACAAAATGGAGTGGTAGAGCGAATGAACAGAACCTTGTTAGAGAGAGCAAGAGCAATATTAGCAACTGCAAGCTTAGACAAAACTTTATGGTAGAAGTAGTAAATACCGCTTGTTATATAGCAATTGTGCTCTATCAACTACAATTGAGTCGAAGACACCAATGTAGTGTGAATGGGCAAACTAGCTTATTATCCAAACCTCCATATGTTCGGAAGTCTGGTGTACG